GTTAACCTTATGGGGAAACCAAAATATGTTCGTCTATAACTTTTTAAGTAGCCTAGCTGACGAGATGGGGACTTCACATGCACATGGAATAGTAGTTGGAGAATACGATAGCATATATAACTAAATTCTTTCTTAAGTTGACTAGGTGGTTATTGCTTATGCCCACAGAAATAAATCGCCGTCGCGTATGCAAATACATTTTTTTGCATATGTACATATGTACTACTTATTTAAGAAAAAATCACTGAATAATTCTTTGCTTTTGATTTGTTTGACGTTTACAGCCCGAGAATTTAATTCTGGAACTTCGGTTAAGTTGCATGAAAAGAAGATTCATCTGCGCGAAAAGCCCGAACCAAAGGAGTGTCCAATATGTCAGAAAGAAGTCGATCCAAATTATCTTAAACATCATATTGACAATGTTCATGCTTCAGAGCGAAAGTTTATCTGTGATTTTTGTGGCGATTCGTTTAGAAGTAACGTGTTGCTTCACTACCATAAACGATTGCATTTAGAGCGCAAATTTCCGTGCACTATATGTACAAAAAAGTTCATACGCTCAAATGAACTTAAAGTACACATGCGTAGTCACACTGGAGAAGAACCGTACGCATGTCATATATGTGATCGACGTTTCAAAATCAAAGTTCGACTCAACTATCACTTGCAGCGGCACGCTGGAATTAAACGAAAATGCAAAGAGTGTGGAAAAGAATTTAATCACGTCAAACAATTGAAAATACATTCTTATAAACACACCGGCATGCCCTATAGGTGTTCAGTGTGTAGTTATGCTTGCGCACAACGTGATGTGTAAGAAGTTGAAAATTCCTATGTTACGTAATATTATTTAATTTATTGTAACTGAAATATTTCAGATTTAGGAATCATTTATTGCGAATGCACGATATGACAATGACTCCGGATGAATATTGTGCCATGTTCAAGGCAAATACTGGTCGGAATCCCCACGTTAAAACTCTGGAGGAATTGCAATCCGGGGCGCAAAATATGGAGCAAGAGGAATTATTAAACTAATATTAAAAGTTATGACCTAAGTACAATAACGGAAGATTATTTATTTTAATAAACTTAACTTGGTTTTGTCAATAATGGGTTGTTTTCATGGTTACATCCCTAGGCACCACATCTCAAATGCTACTATTGGTATTTGTGAAGTGTTGCTTTAAAAACGTTGATTTAAAATCGTAAAGGGCCAGTTTTTCAGTGTATGGCTTTAATGAAAATGCGCGAGCTGATTGGTTGAAGCTAAGATTAGCCAATCGAATGTCAGCCTGCAATTCAATATAGACGCAATTTACGTAATCTAATTTTAAACTGGCACTGAAAAACACTCTCTAAATACGGTTGACAAACAGACTCGATTATTTGGGCATACATCAAGATAACCAACCATTCAGCTATGGAAAAACTACAAAATGCAGATCGATAGTTCTCTACGCTGATTTCAACTATATAAAGATTATTTGGCGCAGTTGAAAATTAAAGATATGAGGTTAAAAAAATTTTGTGATATTTTAGAATATTAATATTTTCTAAACTACGTAGCCGATTATAAAGGTAATGATCAGTAAAAATTTAAATTTAAATTTATTAAATTAATTTAAAAGGTAAAATTTCAGTGCATGGCTTAAGTGTAAATGCGCGAGCTGATTGGTTTAAACTAAGATTAGACAATCGAATGTCAGCCAGCTATTCAATATAGCCGCAATTTACGTAATCTAATTTTAAACTGGCACTGAAAAGCACTCCCTAAATACAGTTGACAAACGGGCTCGATTATTTGCATAAACAGCCTTTATTTGCTTTGACTCATGCATTTTCCTCTTCAAAATGCGCATAAGCAGCTGATCAAATGCACACAATTATTGGGAATTATCTCAGATTCGGGGAATTTCCGTGGCAACACTGGTTGACTGACAGCATAAATTCAGTTCTCTGTGATTCGATATCACTGCAATTTTTATGTATAACAATAATAACCCATGAACGAAAGACACAAGATCACGTAAGAACAAGAGAATGAAAAAAGTCGATTTTTTTAGCGGGTTCTACGCCATCTTGTTTCACTGGAAAACGAGCGAAAAGTAAACAAAGCAAAGAAAACAACGAAAACCAAAATTAGCCAAAATTATTGTCAGCCACTTTAAACGCACAATTTAGGTAAAATGATGCAACAAAATGCTTTAAAATGTGTTGTCATGTTGAATTAACTCTTCTTTACTTGAATAAAAGTGTAAAATAGTGGTGCTTGTGATGTAAACAAACGCTCAGCTGACGAACCCGCTTTCGCAAACTTTTTTCTCAAAACCAGTTACAAATACAACGTCGCGTTTTTACGTGAACTTGTATTTTTGGTTCAAGATAATAACCTACAATTTTGGTGTATGGCAACACTAATTTTACAGCAGTTTTACCAAACCAAATTAGTTTGCTACAAGAGTCGCCAAACTCGCTATCCCTCTCGCTCTGCAACAACAATTGCAAGCAGTTTGCCAAACAAAATTTCTGCATAACACCGACCTAAGCGAGTGTTCTTTTGTAGCTTGGTTGCAAAAGAATGCACCTTATGTATGGGGGTGTACAATCGATAGTATCTTTTCGATAGTCTGCCATTTCTTGCAGGGTTGCGAGTATTTTTTCCGATACCGATGCTGGAATTATACCAGGTGAAATATTAGAGTAAGAAGAAAGATTAAGGCAGCCGAATGTCAGAAAATAAAGCGAGAAAGATGTTTTATTAGCTTTTAAGTGCGCCATGTCGATACCTACTCAGTACTTGGTTCAAAAGTATCGATACCAAAATTACTTGGTATCGAACTCGTATCGTTTCATCCAAGGTGTATTTATTCCATCCCTATCCTTGCCATTTTTGGGGCAATAAGATTAAAAATAGGTTATAAATAAGTGAGGAAAACTTGACAAAATGCAATGCCGTGCGTGCATGGACACCGATGGTGAATTCACGGAAATGAGCCTATCTACGCAGGGGGATGGTAAGACGCTTTACGACTACTTTAACGCATGCACCCAGCTTCACGCCACAGACTTCGACAATCTGCCAAGATCTCTATGCTCACGGTGTGTCCAAGATGTGCAAATATTCTTTAACTTTAGGCAAAAAGCTCACAAATCAAATGATGAACTAAAAAGACTATGCACTGTACATGAACTAAAATTAGAACAAATTTATAATGAGCAGCTAGAGGTATGTACGTATTTAGATAACTACATTTTGTTACGTTGATATATGTATGTACATATGTATGTATCTCACATCGTCGCTGTAATACAAAAATCTGTAACTAACTAAAAATTCAAAATTCATTTTTTGATTGATTATGATGCATTTCATCATTTCAGTCCACCAAAGTGTTTTCTGGCATTTCACCGACGATGTGAGATAGGACCTTCTAAAAAGGTAATACCTATTGGAATTTTAATGCTCTCACCCCCTTAGATTATTCTATATCGAAAAAAGTATACCTGTTTTTTTATTGGAACTGTAAAATGTAATAAAGGGACCCATAAAAATCGCTAATATTAAACACTTTATTGATTTTAAAAAATTCTAAAATATTTCCGCGAAAAATCCCACTAGAACTTGAAGGGAGATCTCCCAATGTGAGGAATAGAAGAGTACTCCCTTTGGCCTGATTTCGGAGCAATAGGAGATTTTTCGGTTTTGACCTTTATAACTCGCTTAGGAGTCAAATCCGAGATCTTCTAAGTGAGCAACAAAAGAATAGTCCCAGAGGCATGATTTTGATTTGTCGATTTTGTACTCCTTTATTACTCGTTTAGGAGCCTAACGGGAGATATGCCAAGTGAGTAATAAAAGAATACTCCCTGAGAAATGATTTCGGAGCAAAAACTCAGATTTTTCGGTTTTGTACTCCGTTATTAATCGCTTAGGCGCAAAAAGCGATGTCTCCTAAAAGAGTTATCCAGGAATATTCATTTTGATTGATAGGGAAGCTATAGGCACCTAGTTCAAAAGAAATTGTGTTGGAAAAATTTATCATAAGGAAAACTACAGAAAATATTTCATATACATACATACATAGAAACAATATAAGGAGGATGCAATAATTTATTGTCGATAGCACACATTAACTGAAGTTCTGTCGGTATGTATTGCAACTTTTCTTTAAATTTCTTAAATATTGTATTATATACGCTAAATACTTTTCAGATTGGCAAATTAGTATCAGCACTTACGTATGACCCCTGGTTTTAAAGTTCATATACTGCCGGTCCAGAGCTTTTACTGAGTGACATAGATAGATTTCAGATGGGCAAAGTAACCTTCACATTGATCGTGGTTAAAACAAGAAAGGTTTATACACTCTCCCTATTTGCGTGAGCTCCAGAACACCCAAGCATCCCTGACACATAGGAAATCATGTAGTTATCTTAGCGTTTTATTATTATTCTGATTGACTTTTGTTTCTGTTGAGATTTTTTAAATAATATTGTATGCATGCATGTGATTAAAAAACTAAATAAATGTATAAATAGCAAGAGCTTTTCTCTTTTATTGCTCGTACAGGAGGCTTTCGGGATGCCTCTTATGGGAGCACTTCCTTATTGCTCGTTCGGGAAGAATATGGGATGTTTTTCTATGTGCACTCCCTTGTTGTCGTTTTGGGTGATATAGGGGAGGTTTTTATGGGAGTACTCCCGTCTTGCTCCCTTAGGAGGTTTGTGGGATCATATTTCTGAGTGTATTCCCAAAATGCTCGTTTAGGAGGTAAAAGGGATTACTCCCCCTCCTAAGACATACAATGGCAAAGGGAGTATATAAAATTACATACTTACACACATGAGCATAGGGAGCAATGGGGAGCTCCATATAAAATATGTACATAAAAAACTTTGGGCAGTTTGAGCCACCACAAAATATTTTTTGATTTCAATATAAAAAAAAAACGGGTGTAATTTTTTCGGTATAGAACAATCCTAGGGGATGAGAGCATTAAAATTACTTCCCCCTTCACATGAATTTTTGGACCACCCTAATGTTTCTACGTACAATCATATATGTGACTTCTCTGTCTATTTCATTCAGATTGCTGTGGAGGGTTCGGCGGATCCCTTAGCTGTGGTGGAATTCCAAGATATACAAGAGAATGTAACCGAATTAAAACCTACATTTATATTTGAGCCTGAATTGGATTTACCAATGGATGATATCAAAGTCGAAAACTTGGCTGTTTCGTCGAGTAAAGAATCAAACAATATCCAGATTGTAAGCGACATTGCCAATAGATCCCAGCTTGTCAAAGAAACAAAAGCAAAGGTTCGAAGAAGATACAAGGGGCCATATCAATGTGAATTTTGTGAATGTTCCCTTAAAACAAGAAAGGAGTGGAAAAATCATATTTTTGAAGCTCATAAGAGTAATTATGCTATGTTTAACAATACTTACCTTCTTTTAAAACATACTTGTTATTTATTCTTTTATAGGTGAAGTAATATGCATGGAGTGCCAAAAAGTATACGATCTGCCAAGAGATTTGCAGAGGCACAAAAAGCTGGTTCATGGCACTGAACCGTCAATACAGTGTCCTTGGTGCAAGAAACCCAAACATTTATTAAGATGCCAAATAGTCCAGCATTTCAAACTGAAGCACAACAATCCATACCTCAAATATTTTCCCCGTAAGCGAGTGATGCGCTCTCTCCAATTATACGAATGTAATTATTGCTATCAAGACTTCGCTTCCATGCCTGAATTGGTTGAACATATAAAAAATCATACATTTGACTGCCCTGTATGTTCAGTACGTTTCTCAAAAAAGACAACCTGTATGGCCCACATTAGAAGGATTCACAAATACACGGCTGATATTTTGAAACCAAGTTTGGGTGGAACTGTCGAAATGGAGAAGCCATATAAATGCACAAATTGTTCAGCACAATTCAGTTTCGAAAGAAATTTGCATGCGCATCTTAAGAACGAGCATCATGACCAAAACAAAGAATCGGAAAATGAAGGAGAATCCCCTTCTGATTTAAAAATAAGTAGCATGCGCTTTAAAAGAGGAGCCACCAAAGAAACGATTGATAAAAGGGGAAAATGTGAAAACCGAGTGAATATTGCTACTACATCTTCAAATTGTGGTAGTTCTGCGAAGGATTCAGAAAGTGATAGTGACTGCAGCGAACAGGATGCAATAACCAAAAATAAAAGAACATACCTTTGTTCTTATTGCCGTAAGTTGAAACCTACAAATTTGTTCATTTTCTCCATGGGTATATTAATACGTAAACAAATACGGTAATTTTTTTTCAAGTGCTCTTAAAAAAAAAAAAAATGTGTATGCAAATTTGTAGCCCATTAAATTTTAGTATAATAAAGTGCAAGTTTCAAGTTACTTCCTTTGGTTTTTAATAATTTTTTTCGCAGACGTGTTGTGCATATTCTTCCTCCATAGAAAAAATTCGAACACACTTTTTATGAAAGAAAATGCGTGACAGCGTCAGCGAAAAAATCATAAAAAATTAACGGAATTTTTTAGCAACCTCGAAACTTGTCCTAAAACTTAATGAGCTACAAAACTGCATACCAATTTCTTTTTCTAAAGATTCTGATTAAAAAGTTTGGAGTTAGGTGAAAGTTCGCTGAATATTTATATTCTCCGCACAAAGTTTGGAATTTGGATTTATATGTTCTTTGTTAGACAGTGAGCTAGGCTTTTATAAAAAAATATTAAACATAAAATAAACAAAAACAATTTTAAATCATCATATATTGGTGCCTAATACTTTTAGCCTATAAACATTCCATGCATTTGCTTAAGTTTTTGTTGTATGTAGGAATTCGTTTATTTGTATTTTATTTGTACGAAAACATATTTATGTATGTATACATACGTTTTTTATGTATGTGAATTCAAATTACCAAAGCTTTCTTTTTGAATGTAATATGTATGATAGTAAAAAGAGTGGAAGATATCGACCTATCTCAGCAGCCTGTTCGAAAACGCCTTATCTCAGAAAACGTTTCAAAAACGCCCTATTTCAGAATTTGATTTAAAAACCCCCCATCTCAACTAAAAATATGTTGAGATAGGCCGTTTTCAAACCGGCTGCCGACATAGGTCGAGCTTCCACTGAGGTGTCGATATGTAAATGTATTCGTCAATTGAACTATATGAACTGAAGAGTACTTCACTAAGGTGAACAAACTACAACTGAACGGTTCACCCAAAAGAACTAAACCGTCCAACTCTATTTTGAATCATTTATATTTCAGCCAGACAACTATCATCGCCGCGTGCTGTACAAACACATGAAATGACAGTCCACTCGAGTGAAGCATCGAAAAATAAGGAAGAATGCCCGATTTGTCATAAGAAGTTTTATCGAGCTTATATAAAAAATCATATTAGAACAGTTCATGTGACAGAGCGCAAAAGCGTTTGTGATATTTGTGGTGATTCCTTCAAAAATAATGCCCAACTTTGCGTGCACAAGCTTCTACACAAGAAGCGCAACTTCCCATGTACAGTATGTGAAAAGGCTTTTACGTCCAATAGTGTACTGAATATACATATGCGCAGTCATACGGGGGAAACGCCGTACGCTTGTCATCTGTGTGATCGTCGTTTTAAAATTAAAATATACCTTAAATATCATCTACAGCAACACGCTGGCTTCAAAAGGAAGTGCGAGGAATGTGGTGAGGAGTTCAATCACATTGGACAATTGAAAGTGCATATGTATAAGCATAAAGGCATGCCATATAGATGCCCTGTTTGCGATTATGCCACACCGAGACGAATTTAGTAAGCATTTTTCAAAAAAAAAAAAAACGATGACAATTATACATTTAAATGTTACATATTGCAGTTTTACAAAACACTTGCTGGGCGTGCATGGTATGACTATGTCAGAGGACGAATTGAGCGATATGTTCAAAGAGCATACAGGTCGATACCCTCGTGTTAAGAATTCTGCAGGTTTGCTAATGGAGGAAGACAACATCAACGAAGAAAATGTCGCTTTAAATGAGTATTAATGCTGTTTAAAATTTGTATATTAAACAAATTTGACTATTGTAGTGGTTGAAACGGGTAATTTCAAAAAAAAAAAATGCAACCGACTTCAATGCTCAAATAAAAATTTTGGAGTACCGTTAATCATTCTGATCCTGTTAGACGAAAATTGGGATTCTCATTGGTGTTATGAGGCAACCAATGACATAATCCTATTATCCTTTCGAAATTAAAAAGTATTAACAACGCGTTGAAGTTTGCCGTTAATGTTTGTGTTCACGACTTAACGAACGACTGTCAAAGAGACAATCAAAATAAAGGTGAATCGAAACTAAACCAAGTTAGTATGGGACCACCCTTGAGGTACAACCTTTCCGCTAAAAAAGAAAACGGTTCACGTCGTCCGATGTTATCCGGTCAATATGTACTGCTTTTCTGAAGTCGGTTGCAAAGAGCCAATATGTTTTTGCTCTACGCAATTTGGCTGATATTTTGGAAAAATTAGCTTATTTTCTGCAACAAAAGGAAGCGTTCGCCCGGGGCGTGTCCCCTACCCTTTTCACATCACAATTGCCAGCAGAGGTCTGGGCATACAGTGCCCACCTGCACATTGTAGTCGATAGCGATCAGCTCAGGCCTGCAAAACCAGTATATCACACGGCGGAGACATCTACCAACTTTGCAGTACGCAGCTCTACCTAAGGTCCACCTCATTTCTTAGGAACATCATTTCTACACCCAAGCACAAATGCTGGTGCTGAAAAATCACACACTATATGTATGTACATATGTACTAATCTTAAAATTGTTTTAGCATGTTACATTTATACTTAATTTCTTCATGAATCTTTAGTTTCATCTACAATGAAGTCGGCTAATGTCTGCGAGTCTTCGTTGTCCTGCGCCTTGAAGGTGGAGTTGAAATGTATCGCCTTCCCCGTATACTTGGCAAAAACGGCGGCCAATTCATCTGCACTGAAATTCAGATTATGTGCGCGCTGCATATGGTTTGCAAATCTAAAAGTGCAAAAAAAAAATATAAAAATATTGCACGAATAAATAAATTTAATTTTATTTCTCTTACCGTAAGCGGCGGGTGAATCCAACATCGGGACACAATTCGCACCGATAGGGCATGCCGGTGTGTTTGAAAAGATGTTCCTTCAGTTGATTGCGATTATCGTACAGAATACCACAATAGGTGCACGGATGCTTGACGCCCTCATGCCGTTGCAGGTGGTATGTTAGCCGCACTTTTATTGCAAAACGTTTATCACATAAGTGACAAGCGTACGGCAGCTCTCCGGTGTGCGTGCGTATATGCACATTTAAATCAGCTTGTCGAGTATATTTACGTTGACAGTGAAAACACTCGAAAGACTTGTCTTCGTCATGCAACATCTTGTGTGCGGTCAATTGCCAGCCGCTCTTAAATGCATTACCGCATATGTTGCAAACGTGCTTGCGTTCCGCCAGATGCACTCGCTGCATATGAGAACTAAGATCTTTTTGCTGATAGCATTTGCGCTTACATATGCCGCATTCGTATTTCGGTTCTTCCAATTTGACTAGATGAACGTTGTGCTCATGCACACTTAGTGATTTTGCATTCGAAAACTCACGAGCTGCAATTTTTAATCGGGAATTTTCATAATTGTTGCGATTTTATAGTATGCAAACTTGATAACTTTTAGCAGGCGAACTGATTTATATGTATCGCTTGTCTAAAACTATTCAAATTAATCTTAAGTTAGAAAGTAATATCTGTAACATAAAACAATTCCGATTCATCATTCTCACGGCTCTACAGAGTTTTATTTTTGATAATTTCGTAGTTTTTTTTTTTACATATACATATATGCATATTCAACATAATGTAACTATCCGACAATATTTTCAGCTGTGAATCACTTCGGATTCTAGTGCAATATCATCTGCATTGATTAAAGTCCCGTCCTCCTCAGTAGCCTCCTTCATAGGTTCTCTGTCCACATGCTCTTCGTAAAGGTCAACGCGTCGAATACGTGTCGATTTGCCAGTATTTTGCTGAAACATTGCAACAAGCTCCTCATCGCTCATACTGGTGCAATGCACACGCTGTAAATGCCTCTTAAAACTGGAATAAAAGTAAAATAAAATGAAATCAAGAAAACATTGCTATGATCATTTTTTTTCACTACTACTTACACATCCCGATTCGCAAAGCCATGGCCATTGCATCTCTCGCAGCGATATGGCATTCCGGTGTGTTTATAGGTGTGTGCTTTTAGTTTTTGTTTTGAATTGAATTCCGCATCACAATCTTTGCAGCGATGCTTGATGCCATAGTGCTTCTGTAAATGGTAGGTGAGTCGTACCTTAATGGCAAAACGCTTTTCGCAAAGATGACAGGCAAATGGTAGCTCTCCAGTATGAGTGCGCATGTGTACATCTAGATCGAACTTACGCGCATAACATTTCTCACAATGCGGGCATTTTATATTCTTTTCCAAGTGCAATTTCATATGATTGACCAATTGGTTTTTAAGCTTGAAGCCATTGCCACAGATGGGGCAGAAATTATCTCGCTCCTTGTGAGCCTGCTTGCGATGTTGCTGCAACAAATGTTGTGTGGCATAGGAACGATCGCAATCGGCGCAAATATAAATGACATCCGATGATGCACCTTGGTGCATTTTCTCGTGTTGGGTGAGAGATTTTTGGTTTTTACACTCGCGCGCTGGGAAAAATATTGAATATTTATATATACATATTCTTTCATAGAAAATTTCCTTCTTAATAAAGGTTTCTATATTTGATGTATTTAGTAACGAATTTTGGTCAATATGTATTTACGAACGATTTTTCAAAACAGTATTTTAACTAAATTTACAAATGATCATTCACCTTCGCAAATATTTTTTCAGGTAAACAAATTTTGAACACTTTTTAGTTAAGTTTTTAAAGTGAAGACTACAAAATTTTAGTGGCCCTGTTATACCTCCAATCAAAAAGACATTTTACATGTGCGAACAACAACATAACAGGGCTACTCTTCCTCCTTACTTTTAAATTTTGTTTTTGTACTATAGCTTATAGTTAGTGCCAGATAAAAGGCGAGGAAATGTAACAAAATACAGCTCTCAATCCGAGTATTTAATATTTAACGGGAAACAGGTTTAAAAAATTAAATTCTCCTTTCAAACTATACATAACTTTTTTACTTCGATGATGAATGGAATCAACTAAGTCTTGCTTGGTTTCCTTGGACTAGTTTTGCTGGCTTCTGGCTACGTGCTTGAATGGATTTTAAAATATTAAAAGGAGTCAATAAATAATCGACAATCCATTGGCTTCACACATGGTTTTAGCGAACAGTTATATACGCTGCATTCCAAAACGCCAAAATACAAAGCATCGGTCTCTTTTGTTTCTAAACCTTAGCAGATTGTAATGCCAAATGTGCGCAACCACGGTTAGATGCTAGTTTTCACATATGTTGTGGAAGTTAGACTTTTTCTTCTAGTTTTGGTTTGGAAATAAGGGACTGATGCTTTGTATTTTGACGTTTTGAAATGCACCCATAATTTGAACTTTGGAAAACTGTATTCGGGTTTAAAAAATATGTAGTAGAGGTAGTGCTATTTTAATTTTCATAGCATTATAAGCCATTTTGCATTCAGATTGAACATATCGTCTCGAGACATGAATAAAGACGCGGAAGTGTTTTGACGGCGAAAAAGGACCTAGGAAAATGTACGAAAAACTACGCATAATAAAAACTTCGGCGAAAAAAGACTCCTAATACTAGTTGACGGCGAAGAAAAAAGTGTAGACATAGATTTATACCTTGCCAAGGACTGTTACTTCAGCATCATTCCCCCAAAACTCTTTGGAGAATTTATATACTGTTACACCCGCAAACATAGTTGACCGCGAAAATAAGTTTCCGCGTCTTTCTTCGCCGTCAAATATGTAGGTCCTTCTTCGCTGAAATTTTGTTTTATGAGTCTTTTTTTCGCGGTCAATTTTTGAGCTCGTGCCTTCACTCCTGTCTTGGGCCGATATGTAAATAGAACAAGTAATATTTAAGCAAAAAACAAAACCGACTTCCATTCTGATATAAAATTTTAAGATTATCGTTGATTTCTTCATGATTGCATGATGGGATCTAAATCAAATTTGTATGTGACCATCTGTGAGGTAACACCTTTCCTTTGAAAAAAAGAATTGTACAAATCGGTTAACGTGGTCCAAAGTCACGATCTATCATTCTTGGTCCAAAGTTATGCGATCACATACATAAAAAAACGAATATCTTCCGACGAGTTGATAACCTTCTCCATTTTTTTAAGTCGGGTAAATAGACATTGCGTTTTAGAAATACAAACCTTGTCAATTAACAAAGCGAATATTTCAAAGTTACTCTAAAAATGATAGCCTATTAAGTATTTATTAGTATACGGCTTGGATCATATTGAATTAGGGTATACAGATGTATGTACATACGTCGAATACGGTGTTCGCATGAGGTGATTTTACAGGCAACTTTTAGTTGAAAGCAAAAATCGCCCGGTGTGAACGTCCTTTCAACTAATCGCTTCCAATGAAGTTGGGGTGCAGCCAACTTTTGATTCAACAAATCGCCTCTAAAATTGCCTGAAAAATCGCATCATGCGAACACCGTATTAATTTACACATAATTTATCTTTGTACATATACAGTGAACCAAATAAAAACTGGGAGGCAACGCTCATATTTTCATTTTAGCAAGTTTTGGATCTTTTTTTTTATGAAAATATCGCTAACAAACACCATATACATCCAAATTTCAGATTTTGTGCAAAAATTATGAAAATTCTGCAAATTTCTGACTTTTTAATGAGCATATTTAGAAAAAATTTTGGTATGTAGTTTTCTAGCCCATTAATTTTTAATATGTTAAAGTGCAATTTGAAGTAGCTACGACTTATCGTTGATTTTTGGAAATTTGTTTGCTGGCGGTGTTACGCATTTTGTCCATACAAAGTATATTGGACATTTTGTTTATATGGAAAAAAATTCGGAACTCCGTCAAAAAGAAAAAACAACGGTAAAATTGAATGGGCTAAAAACTGCATTGATACCAAAATTTTTTATAAAGATGCTCATTAGAAAGGGAGAAATTTAGCAGAATTTTTATAATTTTTGTATAAATTTGGATTTATATCGTGTTTGTCAAGTAATCAGCTATAATTTCATAAAAAAAAAAAAATAAACTTAAAATAAGCTAAAGAAATTCACTCAAAACTTGCTAAAATATCGCGTCCCAGTTAATATTTGGTTCACTGTATGTAGCCATAGAAAATTTCATATGCATGCATATTAGGTTATTTTACTTACAGCAGTACGCGCAAAGGAATTTAGTTTGCGCCTCATTTGCCTCACGTTCTTTTCTAATATGTAGTGCCATATGCTTTTCGAAATTTCGCCGAAGTAACTGCTTCTTACATATTTCACATTGCATACAGGTATCACCGGTTTCATTTATAAGCTTCTCATATTCTTCAACATGCACACCGCGCATATGTTGTCGTAAATTACTGGTTGAAGCAAAACGCTTCGAACAAAACTGACATTCATGCGGCCGCTCATTTTGATGAATGTGTCGATGGTCACACAAAGCTGCTTCTGATCGCATAAAACGCTTGCACACTTCACATTGCCATGGAGTCGTCTTCATCGGGTCATTCAGCGGTCTTCCTACCGTAGGAAAATGTATGTGATATTCCGCTGGGTGTTCAATACGATAATGCTCAACCAACTTAGAGCGTGTTAATGGAGCTATAAGTGGGCAGTGTCGACACTGAACAGGGTAACTTTCAGGATGTACTAATTCGTGGTGATCTTGTAGTTCCTCAGGCGTTGTAAATGTTTTTGAACATTTATCACAATTGCTGTTTGCTGGGAAATAAGATAAATATGTATGGCTTTCAAACATTTATGTCAATGTAAAAGGGGATAACGTTGTAATAATTAACCAAACTTACGTGGCGATTCTTCCACTATTTCTTCTATGGGCGTTTCTGTACGGTGGCGCAGTTCTACATGTTTTTCTAACGCCATTTTACAACGAAACGCAAAAAGACATATTGCACATTTGTAGGGACGTAATGAGCGATGCATATTCATGTGTCCTTCATAAGACACATCCCCGCATAAAATTCGCTTACATTCTATACATTTCCATTTCGCACCGTTGGTAACCGAATCCATTTTGATCTGTTCCTGTTCATTTTCTTGATATTCTCTTAGGTACTGGTCATCATTTTCGTCTTCAGGATAACATTCCCCTGGGTCTGTTTGTGGTTCAAGCCTTTCTTGCACATCTTCTACTGCTGAAGCATCTTCGTATTTACTCTCAATGAGCTCTATTTCCTCTAAAGAGTTTTCATAAATCTCTACTTCTGCCTTTTCGATCTGTGAAATTTTAACATTATACATAAATATTTATGTATATATATATTGAGTGCATGATTTTTGCAAGCTCAATTTACCTCCATAATTTCTACAGCGGTATTTTCTTCTTCACCCCCTTCGTTAACTTCATCTAATGTAGGTTCTTCATCCAAGAGTTCCTCGACCACACAATCCTCACTTTCACTGTCTCCAACTACCTCCAAAGGTTCCATTGATACATCACCAGATTCGGACTCTAATGTTTCAATCAATTCATCAGCCATTAATTTCTGTGACAAACTTTCTCGCAGCATTCTGTCAGCTTGTCGTGCATTTTGCACAAAGTTGAAAGCTACTTGAAGATCTTGCGAGCAGTTAGTGCAAAGCACACCAGGCAATCCGTCATAGAGTCCGGCATCTAGCTGAGTACATAAACTGAAGCAAGAAAAGAAATCGAAGCCATCTGATATATGGGACTCCATGCGTATAAATTCTGCGTCTTTAGTATTGAGGCATGCGCGACATTGAATTACCATTTCATGTGCACAGATTATTTATTGTTAATAAAAGAAAATAAAAAACCAAAATTCACCAAATAAATTGTCAGAGCCTGCAGTTTATTACTTACTACAGCTGCCGTTTTTAAATCGATTAAATCGAGCATCGATTATTCGAAACCTTCCGATTCAAATTTTTATCGATTTTTTAGTTCTGATTCGATCCGTGTATCGATAAAAAAATTGAGAATCGACATTAGATTTTTGCTCAGTCGATGCATATGAAATACGGTTTGCACCAGAAAATCTATAAAAATATAATTAAAGTAGAATTTAGGGCTAGAACAAAAAAAAAAAAAAAACATGACAGAGCAAAGACCAACGAATTCAATGACCTTTCTCCTCCGACTATAGGGCTCCTAAGGGAAGTCTATTAAAAATAAAAATAAATAAAATTATGGCTAATACTACAACAAAAACTCCAAAAATTGTAATTCCAAACTTTATAATTTTCATACAAAATTTTTGTCTCATCTGTGTTAGAAAAAAAAACTTCAAAAAAAATGTACAGTTATCTTAAACAGGGCTAAAATTGGGTGTTCACTAGGCATTAAATGAAATAATTTTAACCCCTATCTTGAGCATTAAACATTACCCGTGTCATAGTGTTGGTTTCCATATGGCATTTTTTAAATGGCATACATTTTTTGTTATTTCGTTTCCTGGCGGAATGAATCATCATATCATTGCCTTAGTAAAGAAAAGCTTTATCTCATACTTTTTTTTCCAAATAACTCCAGATATTGAAACCGTTATGAACAACGTATGTATGTATGTTTTAAACATTCCTTTTGTACAATAAAAGTTTGGTCAGATTGCTATGTTTTGTTTCTTTATAACAATTAATGCAAAATTCGTTATTTCACAAAATATATGAATCGACCCTGGGAGATCAATTTATTTCTTGACGATTCCTTCCTGCATCGATTATTTTTATTTCGATTCGAACCGATTCAAAAATAGATGTTTTTTATTTCGATCTGGCATCTTTATTATCTATCAGGCATGTTCAGTTAAAGAGAATCTCATGGTTGCATTGCGTGCGTTGTAAATAAAAATATAGTCAACACCTAACTTAAGTGCAGTTTTTTTGACAGATGTTCCATGGAAAATAATGCCAAAAAGCTGCTACTACTTTGGAGTCGTTTTTATTTTGACTATGACTATATATGCCTGATAAATAATAAGTGAAAACAAAATTTATTTTCTTGCAAAGATATAGTTACTAACAAATAAGAACTCGTGGCTTTACTACCTTCAAAAGAGGCCCTGGTTTGTTAGAGAGAGCCGATAAACAAAGAGAGCACAAAATAGTAACTTGAACCAGAATCAGGGCTGCCACGGACAAATTTTTTTACTACAGAAACCAACCGAAACCTACCATTTTTTTTGAGATTCATATTTTTTCAATGTCAAGTTCATTAAAAATTTAGATAAAATAACATTTAGTAAAACTAAAAGAGAGCTAGAAAAATAGAAACAAATTAACTGCGTATGAAAATTTAATTTATTGTACAGACTTATACAAATGTACATATGTCTCTTTATGCACTCCTTCAATTTTCTAATAATTTAAAAAATGTTTATAATGTAAAGTTCTGAACATAAAATAAGTTTGGTAATTTTTTGTTTAATCTGGTAACCTTTTCTGGTGTTTTTGGGAAAAAAATCTTGTGGCAACACTGATCAGAACGTTTGAACGGAATTGCGGCGCTTTCAGGTGTAAAATTCTTATTTGAAACTTGTAAAATATTCCAATAAGCAGATATTTGTGTTGAGTGCAAAAAAGTTTATAAATGTAGATTTGTGCTAAAGTGAGGCAGTGCCCACATAAACAATTGACTAGCAATTATCAAAAACTTGCAAACCATACTTGACCCATTTAAGCCGCACTCATGACTCGAAAGAAATGCTGTCAAACGACACAAATTTTATTAAGCAGCAGTGAGGAAAGCTAATCACAACCAACGAAGATAGACGCTTAAAATATAAAAACATTGTATGCTTTTCAAAATAAATATTGCAGTGAAATATAATTAACTTAATCAAAATAACGTTTATATCAACACAGATAATAAATATAGTCTATTTATTATCTGTGGCAACAAAAAAGCCTGAGCCACAATAGAGGAGCTCTCATAGAACTGCAGTGAAGCGTGCATTGAATTTGTGAAAAGAGAAAGTAGGCAAAGATAAATTACTTTTACGCCGATTCAATAAGAAAGTACACGTAATTCAAGCTGATTTACTTATAACACTGTAAGTATTTTTTAAAATAGATATACACAGTATTAAATTTAATTTTCAATCTCCTTTTGCTTATTTAATCATGATGCATTTGTTATGCGACTTTTCTTTGTTTGAATTTTAAAGACACCATGATAAAAGAGAACGTAAAGCAGTCCCACTCCGATAATGTAATATCCAATGGAAAACCATTGGCCAACAGTAAACCTGCTGCTAATGGTAAAGTTTTACATACCGAAGCCAATTCCCTGCCACCGCAAAAATCTGTTATAACTGCGTATTTTTTATGGTTATTTGGTGGTATATTTGGACTACATCACCTTTATTTGCACCGCGATCGACACGCCTTCATTTGGTGGTGTACATTGGGTGGTTATTTTGGTGTCGGCTGGTTGGCCGAAATATTTCTGATACCCGAATATGTACGGGATGCCAATGAAGATCCCACCTTTATTAAATCATTTATAGCACGTTTGCAAACAAATCGTCGGCCACCGTACTCTGCAAAGCGTTTTGTTGGCGAGGTCATGATCGGTTACCTCTTCGGGCAGTTGCTGCTTATGGCAATACCGGAAACCATCTTTGGTGGCATAGATTGGAGTTTCCTCCATTGGCTTATACCAGTGTTTGTGTCGCTGGGCGTTTGGACTGTGGGAAATATTGGGCGTGAACGTGGCGTATGGTGGCATTGCTTAATTGGTGCCGTTGTTATATATCCTGCTCGCTATTTCATCTACGACGAGACGTATTCTTTATTACTAACTGCGCTGATTTCTGCCTTAGTTTTTGATACCTATTCAAAACAATGGTTGCGCACACCACCAAAACGTCATGGCATTGCAGTGCGCTCGCTAAAATTGACTGCTGCTCTGCTGGTGTACTTCTCATTTTGGGGTTGTTTCCTTTACTTCAACGGCACTATTTCCGATGACGATGGAGGGGAAGTGCCTATACACGAAGCTCTGCGAAATTTCCTTACATCCGATTGGTGGACAGATTTTACTAAAGCTCTTAAAGATACTTATCAATATGCGCAACATCATGGATGGTATGAAACTTGGAAAGAAATTTTCGAAAGTATGGATGTGGATGGAGAACGAAATTCCTACAAGGTGTTGGGTGTAAGTGCGACCGCATCGCAAGCTGAAATTACATCAGCATATAGACGACTTTCCAAAGAGTTCCATCCGGATAAAGTTAAAGATGAGAAATTCAAAGAAGCTGCAAATCAACGGTTTATTGAAATTCAACAGGCCTACAATGTGCTAAGCAAAATTAAATCAAGTCGCCGACGCAAAAACAAAAAATCGATTGAAGAGGAACCAATCGTACTGTAGAGAAGATGAAAAAAGTGCTGCATTAAATAACTTAACAAATGTCAATCAAGAAAAAATTAATTTTATATATTATTTATAATCAGCTTACACTTGAATTAAGCGTCATTATTATTTATTAATCAGCTTGCACTTGAATTAGGCGTCATTATTTTTTATTAATTTACTTAATTTATAAAAGCTTAATTCATAAAAGATAAAATAGTAGTATTTAGCTTGATTAAAATCCTTAGAATATTTTACTTTTAAAATTGAGAGTACATACATAAGTATCGATTATCTATTTATTTATGGAGTGTCACATAATTCACGCATGATTTAAATAGACACAGTTTTTTCACAATTCAATTTTTTGTTTTATTTAAACATAAGGCACATAGTACATGGTTGTGTTTGGAATAGCACATCGGGCAAATGATTGTCACGGTACAACAAGTGAATGCGCATGTCTCGAGTAACATCATCCTACATGGAGAAGTTCATTTTCACCTTGATGGCTTTGTTAATCGTCATAATTCACACATTTTGGGTTTAGAGAACCCAACGAAACAGAGCAAATTTTCGAACAAATGTATTGACACAGAGAATTGTTTGCAATTTATGTAAAGTTTTTAATTCTAAATAATTTCGTTCTGATAATTATTTATAAAATCAAAAATCATAAATATAAAACGTCTTAACTTTGTGCAAAACTCAAGGAAATTCAATAAATTGTCATATCTACTAATTTGCTTTCTTTTCAGATTTTCTGGAAAAATTCTAAGTATTTTGGCAACACAAATATGCTCGGCAATGTTTTTTTGTATAGAAGAAACTAATGACACCGTCCGCAAAAAAAAATAATAATCCAAAAATCAACGCGATTTTCTAGCAACTTCAAACTTGCACCTGGTTATGAGACTGTATACTTCGAATTTTTTTTAGAAAATCTGAATATAAAGTTTTAAAGAAGTATGCAAGTTTATTTAATTTTCCTGAGTTTTGCACAAAATTTATAGATTTTATTTTTCATACCTATTGCTAGTGTCGACTCTTATTCGACTATCGCTTTTCCATGGTATTGCGAATGTCGGTTTCTCGTTCAATAAACGTTTGTGAATAGTTTTTGACCGCACAAGCGTTTGTTTGTAGAAGGATGTGCGACTATAAACTATTCTCACTCACTTATTGAACGACAAAACGACTTTGAAAATACCACAGATAATCTATAATCGACTAAAAGTCGTTTATCTACTACTAGTCGACACTCGCAAAATGGGTGTGTATGTTTTTTGGTGTAGTATGAACTATATTTTTGTAAAATATTATCGTAAAGAAATTAGAATAAAAAACTTTGCATATATTGCGAAAAATTTTCTGTGTCAATACTTTTGTTCGTCACTGTATGTACATTGCCGGCAAAAAGTATTGGCACATATGCTGTTTTACAATATGTATATGCAACAATTTTTGTGGTAATATTTTTCCGACAATTATTTATAAAAATATGGTTCATTTCACAACAAAAAACATAAAAATATAATTGCTAAATATTGTGCAGAACTCGCGAAAATTCAACAAAATTTCATGAAAATTTTTTTGAGTATGCAGATTTGTAGACCAATGAATTTTATTGCAATAAAGTAGAAGTTCTAAGTAGCTACGAATTATCGTTGATTTTTGGGAAATTTTACTTTATATGGAAAAAATGCAAAACACCTTCAACAAATCTAAAATACTTAAAAATCTATGCGATTTTTGACTCGCTCCGAATTTTTATTTTTCATACTAGAATTTAATGAGCTACAAACCTGCATACTCAAAAAATTAAAAAAAATCTGTTTGGAAAAATTTGCATAAAAATTTGCTGAATTTCCGCGAGTTTTGCACAAAGTTTAGAAATTTAATTTATATGTTTTTTGTTGTGGAATGAACCATGTTTTTATATAAAATTTTCGGAAAAGCATTACAATAAAAATTGTTGCATATATTGTAAAAAAGCAGCTGTGCCAATACTTTTTGCCGGCGGTGTATGTATTTATGTATAAAAATTAAAAAAAAGTAAATTAAGGTTTAAATTTTATCAAAAATAAAAAAAAGCTATCTGAATATCTTTCAATTTAATTTCGTATGTACATATGTACATATTTACATATGTACATACGTAGTAGGGATTAGAGATGGGTGCGGGATAGCGGGACCCGCGGGACCCACGGTACTGATTTAAAATTCGCTGGGATGTGCGGTATCGGAAAAATCTGTAAAAATATGGCGGGCGGGACATTCCCCGACACTCCCGATAAAACCGCAACCCCCGCAAATTCACAAAATCGTCCTTAAAAACGATGCTTTGAAATATGCACTTTTAATGTTTCATTGAGACAAAAACGAACAGCAAAACAAAATAATCGGAAGATGCCAAATCTTTCATTATAATTTTTATGATTGAAAATTAATTTGAAAGACATGAACATATTCGGATCGGGATTAAATATTTAGTCCCGTGCCCATCTCTACTAGGGATGTTACGAATATTTCCATTTGCATACGCAGCCGCTGTGGTGTAGTGGTTGGCAGTGCGCGAAACCACTCTGCAGGGCCTGAGTTCAAGCCCGGTTGAAGGCAACATCGCAAAAAAAATATATAGTTTAAAATACTAAAAACTCGCTTTTATAATTTGTATTTGTACTGTTATCAGGTATGTAACTTGATAAAGGAAATCACTGCATCTTTTAGGCGCATCAAATTACATAGTTACATCCCAAGCTAATATAAGCTAAGAGACAGCTTCACATAAAAATACAATCGCCGTTCGGTGTCGGCGTAAAACTGTAGGTCCCTCCCCTTTGTGTGAAAACATCAAGGCACACGCCACAAATCAGAGGAAAAGCTCGGCCAGACACGAACATATATATAAGCGCCAATCTGTTATTAGCCGTCATCGATTCGCCACTTCGCTGCTTGCTATATTTGAGTTCCGGTCGCTTAACGAAAAATTTTGTATGTGAAAGCAACAACAAAGTTAGCTAGCACGGATAGACGATAGCGGGTTTGGTTGTACCTCATTGAGTTCGTTCGTTTCGCCACTCTCTAACTGTTGGCGAATCGATGACGGCTATTATTCGCTTATGCGAATGACTCGCATCATTTTTGACATGCGAATTCAAATGATGCCAATGTGAATGTATAAATGATATTGCTGAATTGACTCGCAAGTCTGCCTAACCTGGGCTCGAATCGCCACATACGATATCGTATTACTCGTCACGTAGAAGCACACTTTTCGGATTATGACATACGTGAACGTACTCTTTATCCCATTCAGCTTGAACGACTGACGAATCACGTAATTTTCTTTCGTATATATATATAGTAATCGCATAAATAAAAAAGTTATAAACCATTTAAACCATATAGCTCATTCGGCGCTACCCAGTACAATTCGAGTCCAGGATGGTGACAATAATTACTAGTGTTGGGAAGTATCGAGTACTTTTGAGGATCGAGTTCTTTTAAGTTCTTAGTACTTTCGAGTTCCTTTTTTGAGTACTGAGTACCTTCGAGTTCTTTTGTGAGTACTGAGTTCTTTGGAGTACTCAGTATCAATACCTTTAAAAATCGGGTGCTGTCGTTTTTTTTTTTTTTGAGAACCGAGTTCTAAGTACTTTTGGTATCGATACTGCCTAACACTAATAATTACCGCTCAGCTTCAGGAGAAAATTGGTTGGGTAGTATAACAAGCAACAAGGGTGAGCCTTCAACAAGTTCTGCTAAAAGTCTTATAAGCAATCTAGCAGTAATTTTACATATATTCCTCGAGCAAAAGCTCTAGTGTAGAATTTGGAGACATTAAACAGTGTGAAATCAAAGCCCAATTGAAGGCCTGTATTAATGATGAACGAGCCCCTACTCTAAAATACAGCAAGTTGACAGATCTATATATACATCACTTTTCGATAGCCCTGATTAATTCTGATAAATTAATTAATCATTTCTGATACCTCTTGCTTTTTTAATATTTTCGCTGTTAAAGTTTGGGTTTTTGCAATTTTTTCATCAAAAAAACAAAAAATCTGGAGTGGTCAATTAATTTCTTAGCAGCTATCAAGACTAAATGATGTATATATAGTTTATGGAGAATTTGGTTTTCTTTCATCTGCCGTATCTCCTATTATGACTATTTAATCGGTTCGTAAGATATATGTACGCGATTAAGTGGAACCACTCTTAATTATGGTCTCTGCTATTAAGTAATTTTTTATAGTATTCCTATTGGCGGCCGCTGTGAGCTAGTGGTTAGCAGTGCGCGCTAGCATTCCACAGGGCCTGGGTTCGAGCCAAGCCTTCGACTAACATCAAACAAATAAAACATAAAAAAGTTGTATCTAATAGCGGTCGCCCCTCGGCAGGCAATGGCAAACCGCCGAGTGTGTTCTGCCATGAAAAACAGTTTCTCATAAAAATACAATCGCTGTTTTCCCGCCTATTTCTCATAGAGCGATATTTTTTTTAAGCACAAGAAATTAGATATTTCAATAATTAAATTGCCTTCCGAGGTCCATATAGGACTGTTGCGAAGTTCTGAAAAAGGGGATCGTCACCCCACAGTGGTGTGGCTGCATAGATTTTTAAATTTTGAATGCACGGTTAGTTTAAGGCAGTAAACAAAAAATTGCAAATTTGTTTTCAAATAGTTTTTATTATGTAACATTTATTAACTGGAACAGGAGAATCGATTTTCCTCAAAATTGCTACTTTTTCTGCACTTTGCACTAAAAAATTTAATAAAAAAAAATCGGGCTCAACTGGTTTCTTGCAAATTTTGTTAGCTTTCCTTTAATTAAATTAAGTTAAAAATGAAGGCTCCAGTGAATTGTGAACACAAAATGCCAATTTTGAACCACTGTGCGCTGCACATACAGAAATCAGTGCCATTCACAGAGAGGCTATCTATCACCATTTTTACAAAATTTTGCGCTATTAATGTCGTCATCGGAGTTAATATTTTCGGCTAAAAGTATTCTTAAACCTCTTCCTTTTGACAACTTTATTGCAATATTTACTTTCTCTTATCAAATTACTTAAGCTGAAATTTCCAAAGAGGTGGCTACTCTCTATTTTTTTCTATATTTTGAGTTATACCTCTAGCAATAGGTTGGTGAAAACTGCATTCACTTCTATGCATTAGCTTTTATGTGATGTGCGTACAAACCGACTGACAGAAATTTAAAAAATTGGTGAATAAATCTACCCATATTAATTTTTCTTTAATATCTATAATGTACAGACATGGGTCTGTGCAATTCTATTATATTTATAGATTTCCATCCCAAGTTCAAGTCCTGTACCATAAATACTTCCAGAGAATGCAGTATCGAAGATTCCGTTTGTACGTGAGGTGCCACGCCCCCTTGTCTAATCGAGGTTAAAGCTACCCTATATTTTAAGTGTACAAAATGTCATAATGATTGTTTGGGTGGTTGAAGC